CATGAAGGCGGACTTCTTCTTAACATACACACAACGTGCCTAGTGCACAGGCGGTGAGTGAATCCCTACTTCGGGGAGGCTAACACACAGGCCCCACCCCTTCTGCCCATGTCTCCCACACACACACACAATCCCCTTTGGGGTCAGGACCCCTACAGTTACAACATGTGAAATTTCAGATTTAAATAGCTGAAATCATGAAATTTACAATTTTTTAAATCCTGTGACTGTGAAATTGACCTGAATAGAGCCTGAATTTGGTAGGCCCTACCTGTAAGACACTGACTTCAGCAGTTAGCATAAGGCTTGAAGCCTATGACCTTTGACACAGATAAATGGCCCTATGGCTATCCCTCAGTTTTGGGGAGTGGCAAAGAGGGTGTTTAAGAGGGAAGTTTGTCCATGACACCAGTCAACCACAGGAAACGTGAGCTAACACCAGCTTTGGGATATCTTAGGATGGGAATGTCCGCAGATGTCTGACCACCAGAGTGCCATGGCAATGAATTGACATATAGGATAATAAGCTGAGATCATTAATATACTAACCTATAGGAGAAGAGCACCCCAACACTAGCAGGGTGTGAAAATACACATAAGAAAGAGGGGAGAAACCCCTATTTAATATGCATGGGACAGAGTAGCATCAGCATAACATATTATAAAAGTTGTATCCCAGCCCGCATGCGGGAGGATAGAGAGATGTAGCTCTTGGGAGGTGCCAGGTTGATGGCCGCAGGTGCTGATGAAGGTGATGGTGCTGATGAAGATGATGGCTAACATTTTAGGTTGTGCTGCAAGGGATGGTGTGAGTATGTGGATGGACAGATGGACAGTCTGTGTTATCTCTATTTACCTTACTGTGCTGGAGTGTTTGGGACTTATCTACATGTATTAATAAACTCTTACAAATACAGAAGTGTTCCTATAGTGTGAGTGTTGCAACCGTGCACATTGGGGTCCCCAACTGATCAAACAGTAATTTTAGTAATACTGGGCCTCATCTTGGGACAAGACCCTGTCAGACCTCAAAGTGATAACTTCAATGTCATTAATATAGGATTCAGCCATCGGGTGGCTAAACCTTGTAGGTCCAGCCCAGGGCTAGTAGCTAGGGAGCATGATATGGAGACAAGAGGCCATCTCTGACCAACTGCTCCCTGGTCCAATCTCTCACCAGAGCAAATCACACATGGAGTCAGTTTCACTGGGAAATGTGTCTTCTGCAGCTCTGGGCTCCCTCTCTAGGACCAGGACCCTATCACGTCACACCTGGGTACTCCTTATTGGGAACTCTCAGGAACAATCCACAATCTTCCTAAACATCCCTCCCTCTTCTCCCCCCTCCCCTGGATCCTGGCCTTTCTGTCCTCCCATTGATCCTGTGGTTTCTAGGCAGGATGCCTGCATAGCGCTGGGAGAAGCTGCCTGTGCCCAGGGGCGG